TCTTCCGCCTTCATGGGCTGTCTTTTGCCCTCTGCCCTCCCCTTGTTCCTCCTTCTGCCCTCCTTTGTCATCCTTTGCCCTCCAGTGCCTTCCCTTGATCCTCCCCCTCTCTCATCTTCCGTCCCTCCGTCCCTTCTGTCCTTTCCCGTTGCCTTCCCCCTGCTCTTCTCCCGTCCTCAGGCCCCCCCTCGCCCTTTCCGTTGCCCCCCCCTGCTCACCTCTTCGCGTCGCGCGCTTGGGCGGGTCGGAGTCAGGGGGGCTCGCGCGGGCTTCCGAGGGGCGAGGGCGACGACGACGATGTCGACACTTTGAGGTGGATGACAAAATGGAAAACAAAGTAGGTGAAATACATTGTGGAAGACAATCTAGCTGGAATAGGTAGACCACGTTGTAGGTGGAAGGCATCCGGCAGAAAACACAGTAGAGCTCGACTGCGTAAACTTCAACGGGCATACCCCTCGCTTTCACCCCCTCGCCCTACAAGGGGCTTTAATTTGGCCCATCATCCACGCAGTCATGCATTTCAGCGTCGTCGTCTCGCCACTTCAGGAAGTCAAACGCGGCCGCCATCTCTTTGGCGGCCGAGCAACCCCAACTCAAAATTACCGACCTTCGAACCTCGAGCTTAAACGTGATGCGATGGCCGTAGATGGGAAGACAGGAACTAGGGAAGACGGGCGGAGGAGACTATGTGATAGAGCAGGGCAGCAAAAGGCAAGGGGAAGAGGAAGGAATGAGAAGGGAAAGGTGGGGCTCGTAGCTTCTGGCTTCAACTAGCGTGGCCGAGCTCCGCCAGCGCGGCCTGGCCAACGAGTTGAGCCGTCGGCCGAGCGGTTCTGCCAGTCCCTCCCCCTCCCCCCCTTCCCCCCCCCCCCCTGGCAGCGTCCCGTCCACTCTCCTCTCCACCCTTCCCAGTTCCATCCCTCTCCTCCCGCTCCCTCCCCTTCCCCATTCCACGAGCGCCGGTCGGCCGACGCCGCAGAGCAGGGAGGCGACCGCCACGCCGGTGCCAGGGGCGCAGGAGCGCCGCGAGGGGGAGCACGTTGAGGAACGAGGAAGATCAGAAGTAAGGCGAGAAGGGGTGACGAGGAGGGGGGGCGGACGGGGATATGGAAATGATGAGTATGATGAGTGAGCAGGGGGAAGAGGAGGAAGAAGGAGGAGAAACGGAACACGTGAACGACATGGATTCGGAATGAGATAGAGCAGAGGGAGGAAGAGTAGGAGGAGGAGGAGGGGGAAGAGGAGGAGGAGGAGGAGGAGGAAGTGGAGGAGCAGGAGGGGGACGATCAGAGAGTAGCAATATGACGTTAAGCACACTTCAGAAGCATTCCGCACTTCGTTCGTCTGTCCACTCCAACTCCGAGTCCAACTCCCTGAATTCATACATTCTCTCATCTTTGACAGCGCAGTCGTTTGATCATTCTCCTGGTCTGCTTCCAACGCCCCTCCCGCCTCCTCCTTTTCCTCCTTCTCCTCCTCCACCTCCTTGTTATCTCCTTCTTGTCCAACTCCCTCCTTCTTTTGCCCAGCTCTCCTCCTCTCCTCATTGTCCTCCTCCTTGTCTTCCTTCCTGTCCAGCTCCAGGACCAGCAGCGTTGCCTCATGGTGCCCAAGGGCCCCGCGGGCGCGGCGGTGGCCAGGCGGCGAGTCGTCGTCGCCGTCGTCGTCGTCGAGTCGTCGCATCGTCGGGTCGGCGAGTTGTCGAGTCGAGTCGAATCGGCGCTTCGTCGGGTCGTCGAATCCAGATCGTCGCGTCGACGCGTCGTCGGATCTGCGTCGGATCGTCGACGAAACCGTCGAGGCGTCGAGTCGCCCCACTCCTACTGCTGACTTCCCCCCCGCCCGCTCGCCCCCCCCCCCCCCCCCCCCCCCAAGGCAGAGCGCGAACACGAACGCCACGAGCTGGTCGTCGATGCCGCCACCTCCGAAGCGGGCGAGGACATCGGCGATGGGGGGGGGGGGGGGGGCGAATAACGGTAGCATTATGTATTCCTTCCGATTTCCCTCACTTTAGTCTTGCGTTTATTCAGATTATTTCGTCTGCTCGTTTGTCTCGCCATTACTCCTACTGTCACTCAGACTTCGGCTCCGACGGCTGCTGCTACTGCTACTACTGCCTACTGCTGCTGCTACGACCACTGCTGCTGCTACTGCCACGGCTTCTTCTACGACTGCTGCGTCTACTACTGCTGTTGCAGCATCGTGTGCTGACCACTGCCGCTGCTGCTGCTGCTGCTATTGCTGCTGCTACTGCTGCTGCTACTGCTGCCGCAACTACGACCATTTCTGCCGATTCCACGGCCGTGTCAAGTTCTGCTGATAAGAGGCGCTCGCGTAGCGCACCCATTTGCACGTATGATGGCAGCAGCTTCATGAACGAGACGGGCGTCTGCGCGTTCGAGTGTGCACCAGGTGCTGAGTGTAGCAGTGGCCGCGGTCGTAGTAGTAGTCGGCGTCAGAGTAGTGTCGGCATGCGTCGTAGTAACAACAATACACGCCTGAAAGTGCAGTTTGGGTCGCCGTGTTGTCGCAGGGCGCGGGCGCGCTGAGCGGCAGGCAGTAGCAGGACGCGTAGAAGCAGGGTAGTCGCGGCAGCAGAAGTGCGAGATCGCTGTTGCAATGCAGTTTTTGCAGTAACGTATGCGTAGGAAGAGGCGTATACCACGTACTCTTCCTCCTCCTCCTCCCCCCCCCCACCTCCCCCCCCTCCTCTTCCTCCTCCTCCTTCTGCCCCCCCCCCCCCCCCGCGCTTCTGGCGCTGCCCCCCCGGCGCGACGCGCGCGCCGAGTGGGGCGGGCGCGCGCGCGCGTGGTGGTGGGCGTGTGCGCGTGTGTGTGCGTGCGTGTGCGTGTGGGTTGGGGGGGTGGTGGGGGGGGGGGGGGTAGCGCCGACCCGAGAAATCCGCCCAGAAGTTCACGCGCGCCCCCTCCCTCGAGGAGCGGCGGCGGGGGGGGGGGGGCGTCGGATGAGAGGAAGGGGGGGCGGGGGGGGGGGGGGAGGGGGGAGGAGGATGAGGAGGGGGATGAGAAGGGGTCAGTAGCAGCAGCAGTAGCAGTAGCAGTTGCAGCAGCAGCATCAGCATCAGCAGCAGGGGTAGCGGCAGCGGTAGTGGTAGTGGTGTTGGTAGTGGTAACCGCGGCAGCGGTGCGCGCAGGACTGGGCGAGCTACCTTGACGACGATGTGGGCTCCGAGGGCTCCTGCTGCTGGTGCTGCTTCCTCGGCTTCGACGTCGTCGGAACCAGCACCTGCGGCCCCCCCCGCTTCCTCGGCTTCGGCTTCCTTCGCCCCCGCGGTGCAGACGCGCCTGCTCGAGTCGATCGACCAGGCCTCGTTCCCTCTGATGGACTTGTTTCCCACTGCCACTACCGTGAGTCGGAGGGAGGCGGAGAAGGATGAGACGGAGGTGGTGGTGGTGGAGGAAGCGGGAGGGATTCCCCCTCCAACTTCTTGTAGTGGTAGTGGACAACAGGCTCATCACCCTCGGATGTACGATTTCATGCATTCCGTCCCTGCACCGGTGCTTCCAGGGTTAACGCAGACCCCCTTGGTCGGGCGCGTGCTCAGTGGCCCTCGGGACCTTCAGTTTCGCTCGAAGTTCACATTCGAGTGCATCAGATCTCGTCAGCCGGATCTGGTCGGGGACTTCGTCTTGACGGTGGACTGGGCGAAGGCCCTTTCCGCTTGGGTGGGGCGCGTCAAGGCTGGGCGGGCAGTGGGCACTGTGGGCACTCCACGTTTCGTAATAAAGTGAGGGGGTCTTTGTCTAGGCGCCCGATTGACAGCGGGGGGTCTTGGGGAGAGGGCTTGATCTTGAGGGAGCCCCCCGAAGGTTCAGACCCCTTCGCTTTGTTGCGGGAGGTGTAGTAGGTCTTGTAGAGCCTTCTTGGGGTGCTTGGGTGCCCTCTTGAGGCGCCGCGCGTCCTCGCGACGTACGACAGCCAGAAACTGCCCAAGAACCAGCGTCTCGCCATCGGATTGTTTCGACGAAGGTTTGTCGCCGAGTACTCTTGGTGGCGCTAGGGCCTCGAATCGGCATTCCAAGCAGTCTACGAGGAGTGGGCAGGCCGATCGGGCTGCTTAGACGCTGCGTCAGAGGTGGAGGAGAAGGGCGAGAAGGAGGAGGAGGAGGAGGAGGAGGAGGCGAAAGGGGATTAGGAGGAGGAGAAGAAGGAGGAGGAGGAGAAGGAGGAGGAGGG